CATGTATAGATTCTACAAAATATACAATTATTACATCAAATACTACATACAATCTTCGCAATTTAACTACTTACTTTATTAAATTTCATGTGCGGATTACATCATTATCATTCTGTCGATAGACTATTCTATTCAATAGACTTTTACATTGCAGATCGCATTACCTTTTTATCTTTATTTCCCACATATCGCATTACCTTTTACCTTTATTTCCCTATGCAGATAATTATAGACTTTTACATTGCATTTCATACCGGTTTTTATATGCTAAAACTGGGGCATACCATACAAACACTAATCGATCATTATCATTACATAGTAATAAAATTTATCAGAAAATTTCGGTATATACATGCTTGTCTTTTGCGTTCGATGAATTTCAGCTCAGGAATATTCAAGATTTGCGGTATGATGCTTTATTGGCCATCTGGGTCATGTGATTCCAGTTCTAGGTTACATACACCATATATGCTTCAAAATGTTTTATGAAATTAGACCAAAATTTGTTACTTTGATGTGAAGAATTTTCTAACAAATGAAAATAATACCAATTTACAATATTAGTTGCAGTTGTAACAGAATTTGGATCATCAAGTTGTTCTAAATAAATCAAAGTTTGATAACCAAAATCTGTAATACATTCAGGTTCAAAAATATCTTTAAGTTGTATTAGCTTATCTAATGATTTGGTATTATTTCATGCTGATATGATAAGCTATGTTTTTTCTTTCTGACTTTTACGTATAGTAGCTGTATTAAAAAAATCTTGTAACTCTATATAAGTATATTGAAGCCTTTTCTATAATAATTTAAAATGTTGTTGTACATGCTTTTTTTTTAGTAGTTCTTTTAAGTCTTTTAATTCTAACCATCACCCAAAAGCAACCTATAAATGATTATTATTAGTATCAATATTTAATGATATTTTAATATATATATATTTTTTTTTGGTATTAAAGTGAGGCCTTGCTCATATCTTTATTAATAGTTTTTATCATAGTAACTACAAAGAGTTGCTAACCTTAATATATAAAATATAAAAAGTAAAAACTACATGCAAAAATAAAAGCTTAGACTACTTTATCCATGACCTAAATCTACTAGAGTGGTCAAAGACTCACCTAGAATTTTTTTAAGAAAAAATAAATATAAAGTAAATAGAGTATTTAATTGAATGAATTTAAAAGTAAGGCTAAAATTGTAAAATTTGTGTATTTAATAGTATAAAGTTATAAGATATAATAAAAAGTACTAGGCTATGTTTAGTATATAAAGTTATAAAGTGTATGAAGAATGATAGAATATATAGGAGTATGTAGTCAAGGTGTTAAAGTATAAAATATAAGATAAGTTTTAAATTAGAAAAAGACTTTCATTAATGTTAGGAATTATAAATTTTGGAGTAGATTTATTAAAGCGATGTTGTTGTTGTTTATTAATTTTGGAAGGTTTAGATTTTGTAGTAGAATGTTGTTGTAGTTGTTGTAATTGTTGTAGTTGTTGTAATTGTTGTTGTTTTTGTTGTTGTTGTTGTTGTTGTTTTTGGGTATTAGAATTTGTGACCATAAAATTAGTATATGATATATTAGAAACAGGGATCTTGAACTTTTTGATTATATATTGATTTGCTTAATCGAGATAGGATTTTTTGAGATTTTTTTTAAAGTTGGCAATAGTTGGTTTAGAGATTTGGATAATATTATAGTAGACAATAATTCTGGCTAAGATTTTTGGATTCGTAGATATTAAAGATATTTTGTTAAATGCTTTCTTAAGATTGAGATCAGTAATTTGGTCATTAGTTGCAGCTGTTTTTAAATATACTTTAAAATAACTGTAGAAGAAAAAAGAGTTCCGTTTAGAGCTTTGAGTTATAGTGTTTAATTCTGAAAGTTTTGACTTATTGGATTCAATAAGTTTTTGGTTAAGTATGATAAATTTTTGTTCTGCTTGGTTGGCAAGTTCGTAGAGATTTTTAAAAGGAAAAGCATTGAAGAATATAGCAATATAAAAATAGTTAGATGAAAAGATAGAGCTATCAATAGTTAAATAAATATATTTAGAAGCAGGTAAAGTTTAAAGAAGTGTTTAAAAAAGTAAGTAGTTAAATTGCGAAGATTGTATGTAGTATTTGATGTAATAATTGTATATTTTGTAGAATCTATACATG